CCATCTGATTGAGAGACAGAAAGACAGACAGAAGGAGAAGGATAAATCAAATGTGGTAAAATGTTAACCTTTGGGGGATCTGGGTGGAGGGGATCTGGGAATTCTTTGTACTATTGCAACTTTTCTGTAAGTCTGAAATTGTGTTGTCAAAAGAAAAACAGTTTATAAATACTTTATGATCCATTTGCTTTATAATTAGGAAAACAGAGTATGATGACAGAGAGAGCCTACTGTAGGCCTGATACTTAACAGAAGGAAAGTAGTTTACGTGTAAACTCTGGGAAAAGTGGAGCCAAATGATTACACTGTGTGTATCCTTTAGCACTGTTTGGGGTGGGGACATGGAGGGTCAGGGCGCAGAGAGAGACTATTCTGGTCTCCTTGGAAGGTATGTGCCTATAGTAAAAAGCATGAGTAAGATATCACATCTCCTAACTCCGTAACAACCAAGCAAACTTATAATAGCATTTTAACTTATATCACCTTTTTTATAGGAGCGGATATATATTCCAGCAGGATGAGTATTTTAGCCCTCTTTGCAATTGCAGTCTTCATTATCATCAATAAACTGGCCTCTGGTTGATTGGTCTAGTCTAGTTATTTTATCCCAGCACATGGGATATGAGATACCATCAAAGCCATGATGTGAACAAACTATGAAGTATAATGGAGTTTGTTTGAGTAATTGTGCCTTTTAATTAGTTTTAGTTTGCTTTCTTGACTTGCATTCATTCAGACTGCACATGAGGGGACAGAGAAGAGTGTGCTTCAATATAAAGCTGGGGCTATTTTACAAACACACCTTCCTAAATGTTCTTAGTCTCTATCCCGGAAAAGCCACCTTCTCAGCATCATGGATCAGAAATACATAAAAGCCTTAGTGCTTGTGGAAAACAGGCTTCTTCGTTGGAGGTCAGTCTCAACTAACTTCACACTCTGATTCCTAAAAAAAATGGGAAGGTGGGTGTGTACACATCCTTTATGTTACAAATTTCTTACTGGAAAGATGGCCTAAATATTAGACTTTCCCGAAAGAGTATTCAGTCTCATAAAAATCTCTAATGGAATAGCACTTAAGAATTTCAACTGTGTGACCACTAAAAATGGTGTAGATCCATTACCTCTCACACAGGCACTCTCCACGATAGAGTGAGTGATAAAAACCAAGCTGCAGAAGATTATATTACCTGGAGAGATACCAAATTGTTCAGTTGTGACCTCTGGGAAACAGATGGTGGGGGAGGTTTCGAAGGGGACACTCACCTTAATTTGGGGGCATTGTTAAAAAATTTTTTTAACTTACATAGTCTTTTTAAAATAAAGAACTTAGCCACAAAATCCAAACAGCTGATTGATATGAAGCACCCCTATCTCCATTATTGAAAGGTTGCTTCAAGAATGCTGAATAGTTTCAGGTTACATTTTACAAAAAATGAAAGGGCACAGGATGTTGTCTACCTGTTTTAATTATGGAAGGATAATTGTCAATTTTTAAACGGTAAGATAAAGAATAATGTTTTCCAAAGCAATACCAAAGAGACACTTTTCCCTTTTAGAATAGAAGTTATGGTAACATGCAGCTTATTTCCCCATATTGATCATGTGAACATTTGTTTTAAGGAGTAAAAGGGTTTGTCAGACCTGGTGTCCATGGCATGCCAGAGATACAGATTGAACTATCTCTTGGCATTTCCATAAATATACAAAAATTAGCGGGGCATGGTGGCATACACCTGTAGCCCCAGCTACTCGGGAGGCTGAGGCAGAAGAATCGCTTGAACCGGGGAGGCAGAGGTTGTGGTGAGCCGAGATTGCACCACTGCACTCCAACCTGGGCGACAGAGCAAGACTCTGTCTCAAAAAAAAAAAAAAAAAAAAGAATTAATGGGGCCAGGCACCATGGCTCATGCCTGTAATCCCAGCACTTTGGGAGGCCGGACAGGCGGATCACCTGAAGTCAGCAGTTCGAGACCAGCCTGGCCAACATGGTGAAACCCTCTCTTTACTAAAAATACAAAAATTAGTCGGGCATGGTGGCACATTCCTGGGGTCCCAGCTACTCAGAAGGCTGAGGCAGGAAGATTTCTTGAACCCGGGAGGTGGAAACTACAGTGAGTCGAGATCAAGCCACTGCACTCCAGCCTGGGAGACAGAGTGAGGCTCTGTCTCAAAACAAAAAAGAAAAAAAAAAAGGAAAAAAATTCCCTTACTAAGTCACCGAAGTCTTAGAAATTTGGGAAACTGAGGACAAAGTTCCTAAGGGTTCTGTGAGAAGGTACAGCCATTTGGGGAACTATCTGTCGAGAAGCAACTTCGTGTCTGGGATAATAGGGAATTCAGAAAACAGTGCAGCAGTCCCTGAGAGACACAATATCTGAAACAATAAAGGGTGCGGTGTATACTCAGGAAGTTACGTGGTGAGCAGCCAGGATGGTTGAAGGTCCTGAGTAGCTGAAACCAATAGGGAAGACTTTATGGAGGAGTTCAGATTTGAGACAAGCCAGATTTTAAGCAGGGAAGAAAACATTCCAAGTAAACAATAGCTTCATGATTTAAAAGCAATTTTTTATTTATTTATTTTTGAGACAGGGTCTCACTGTGTCACCCAGGCTGGAGTGCAGAGGCATGATCTTGGCTTACTGCAACCTTTGCCTCCCGGGTTCAAGTGATTCTCCTGCCTCAGCCTCCCAAGTAGCTGGGATTACAGGCACCCACCACCATGCCTGGCTAATTTTTTTTTTATTTTTATTTTTGGTAGAGATGGGGGTTTCAGGTTTCACCATGTTGGCCAGACTGGTCTCGAACTCCTGATCTCAAATGATCTGCCTGCCTTGGCCTCCCAAAGGGCTGGGATTATAGGCGTGAGTCACTATGCCTTGTCTACAAGCAAAATTTTAAATAATTAGGAATCAGGAAATGAGTCTTGGGATGATTCTGATGATACCTTGTGTAATAGACTCTTCAACAGTATAGCAATTTATGGGCCAGGTGCAGTAGCTCATGCCTGTAATCCCAGCATTTTTTGAGGCTGAGGAGGGAGGATCACTTGAGCCAGGTGTTGAAGGCTGCAGTGAGCTATGACTGTGCCACTGCTCTCCAGCCTGGGTGACAGAGACCCTGCCAAAAAAAAAAAAAAAAAAAAGCAATGTATAAAGGCAATGAAATTACAATTCTGAAATTTTCAAATTGAAAGATGCCTTACAGGGCACATAACTTGTACCCACACGCAAATAATGAAACTAGTTAAGATTAGGTAGCTTACATTAAAGTCTCTTAAATTTAGGAATTGAGTATTTTTTCTATTAGACTTTGTTCCAGAAAGTATTTCAGTCATCTTTATGAATACATGATATTCAAGATGCATTAGTTGAGCCCTTATCAAAACATCTCATGTACCCCGTAAGTATATATGCCATGTACCCAGAAAAAATTTAAATAAAAAACTTTAAAAGATCCATTAGTTGAAAAAACAAGTAACAATTAAACAGCATCATCTCATTCAAGAAAACATTGTATACAAGAACCAACACTAGACTACCAGTGCTCATATACGTAATGAATACTAAAACAAATTAGTTTTTGTTTTTTTGTTTGTTTTTTTTGTTGTTGTTTTTTGAGACAGGGTCTCACCGTTGCCCACGCTGAAGTGCAGTAGCATGTTCATGGCTCACTGCAGCCTCGACCTCCCAGGCTCAAGCGATCCTCCCACCTCAGCCTCCTGAGTAGCTAGGACCACAGGCACATGCCACCAGGCCTGGCTAATTTTTTTAAAACTTTTTGTAGATAGGGTCTTGCTATGTTGCACAGGCTGGTCTGGAACTCCTGGGCTCAAGAGATCCTCCACTATGGCCTCCCAAAATGCTGGGATTATAGGCATGAGCCATCACGCCCAGCCAGATCTCTTTAAGTGAAATGTTGTAGGGGGCCCCAAAGTTAACCTAATTAATGAAGACAGGAGAAGAGGTAAGTCAAGGAATACACACACACAAAAAACAAGGAATGACAAGAAAGCAAATAGATCAGAGAATTGAGAGAGGAAAGATACAGTCTCAGCAGCCATTGGTGGAGACTAAGCATAGCTGCTCAGAACCGAATGCTGCTTTAAGATTAAGGAAAGTTGAGAACTAAGAAAAGATTTAAATTGGACTGTGGCATTAGCATTAACTATTTTAAGCACTTGGCCAGGCGGGGTGGCTCACACCTGTAATCCCAGCACTTTGGGAGGCCAAGGCCAGCGGATCACTTGAGGCCAGGAGTTCAAGACCAGCTTGGCCAATACAGTGAAACCCCGTCTCTACTAAAAATACAAAAAATTAGCCGAGCGTGGTGGCACGCGCCTATAGTCTCAGCTGCTTGGGAGGTGGAGGTTGCAGGCAGCCGAGATTGTGCCACTGCACTCCAGCCTGGGCAACAAAGTGAGACTCTATCTCAAAAAAAACAAAAACACACTTCTTTGAGGTAACTTTGATTACAGCTGAAATACAGGGAATTTTACTAAAGGACAAAAGGACAAATAACTTCCCTCCCATTAGCTTGTTTCAGATTCTGGCACACTGGTGAATAAAAACTAGAATCTTGCAGGCTAACCTTGCACATATGTATGAAAGACAGTCAGAATTCCAGCCAGGCTTTCTCAAAACTAGGGCAGATTTTTTTAACTTGTACCTACTCTCTTCTCCCAGGTTATGTTAAAATATGCCTTGGGTCAGGATGATAGATGCCGGTTTTTTTCTGGAGATTCCTACACGTTCAGTCACTCAATATCAAATTGACAATTAATAAAATGGTTGTCATTTCCTCTTCCTTCTCTGCCATCAGCATATGACCACAGAAAGATGACAAATTTTTAGATAACCTGACCAACCCATATATGATTAAACTGACACGTTTCCTTACTAAAATAAAATACACTTACTTTAGGTCTTCACTGCTTTTATCCCCTCTAATGTGAAAATAGCCTCAAAGTGATCTTCTAAGACACAAAAGAGGACTTAAACATGTCATTGGTCACTTGCTTTATTCAGACATTCGAGTGTACCTTTCGCCACAGGGCTAGAGGTGGTCTACTCTGTACATACATTTCACAGTAAAGAAAAATTCTGTCATTCCCCAACTCTATGACCAAGGAAAACTTTTAGGATTTCTTTAATTTGTAGCAGAGACACAGTGGCTTAGCCAATCGGCAGTGCTATAAACAGTATGCCAGTTTCCCACCCCCACCCTTTTTTTCCTCTTTTTTAAAGCTTCAGAGGTTTAAATAAGACTTATTTTAGTCTTATTTAAGATCAATAAGACTTAAAATTTCCTCATTTAAAGAGAAATACGATGCCCCACATGTTAATTTATATTAAAAACTAAAAATAAATAATGGGGTTCTTAAACAAGGACATCTTTAAATAGGTTATGATTAGACCAGCCTGTGAGTGAAATGAGAGATTATCTCTTCTCCCTGGAAATGTCTTCGAGGCTCAGACAATTCAGTAGTTTTTAAAAGGCCCCAACTCACACATCTCAGGTGAAAAGTGTAGGCAATGGGCAACAAACAAGACGCTAATGACTTGGCTTCTGATAAATTGAAACAAACATTTGGTGGCCCAGCCTAATGAATGACAGCATGAAACTGAGGTTTAACGTAAGTTTTGACATCACATATAGATCCCTCAACCCTAAGTTACTTTGGAGGGAAGCCATGAGAGGCTGGATCAGTCCTCGAGCCCCAGCTAAGGATGGATCCTATTTCTTCCCAGTGCACAACAACAAATGCACCTGTAAGGTGGAGTCGGGAAGGAGAGTTCCCCTCTTACTTTGAAGCAAGAGATGGAAAAAGTCAGAAAGATTTCTAGATAAAACTGCGAAACACAAAAGGCAGAGTAAAAATTTAAACAGGCCTCACAACAATCAGCTGGAATTCTTATTAAAAAAAAAAAAATACAATTCATGGATGGGCAAAGAAAGGAAACAATGCAGAGGCCTTTGGACTTCAAGGGAAAGCCCATCAGGATTCTCTGAGATTCTCAGCTGAGAGTGAGTTCTCTCTCCATGCAGGATTCTGCAGCATGTGTATCCCAAAAGGAGTTCTACGTGGAGGTCATCCATCTTCTTCCCTGCAGCTCTTAACTGAGCTGAGCACTGACACACTGACACACACACACACACACACACTCCACCAATCCACCAAACTGCAGCTGTAGCTGCTTTTCTGACCCACACTCCCCTGGCTTCCACTTTTAGGCACAGTCTTTGGTCTTTATCGCCAGGCCCGATTCAGGAGCTTCACCTGTGCTAGTCTCTTAGTGATCATGGTGGCAAAAACCAGGCCAAAGAGGACGCTGCTGATTAACACGTAGTCATAGTCATCCTTCAGAACGTCAAACTGCTTAGATGGGTAGACTCGAGTTTGGTAAATGTCCAAACCATAGGCCACAACCTGGAAGGCAGATGGAATAAGAATTAGGGAAGAAACAACCAATGATCCACCAAGGGTGAAAAAGGGTAGCTGTGGGCCCTACTCACCAAACAAGTGGACTCCAGGCCCGAGGGAGCTGTGTAGATACCTCGCATTCGAGAAACTGTCTGGTTATAGTTGATGAATCGCTCTGCATGTATCTGTACATCTGGAGAATACGGGATTAGGTTCTCCTCTCTGCAAAACACCAGCCGGGACAGGCAGTCTGAGCACTGCTGTAAAGGGATCTCTTGGCTGCCCTTCCTGAGTCCTGGAAGGTTTCCAGGCTACATATCTAGCCTCAAATCTCCTAGGAGGTCTACTTGCATTAGGTAGTTAAAAATTTAGCAGCTGAATGTTAGGAAGGACTACAAGAAAGGAAGCTCTCTGGAGAGTAAGACTGAGATCTAGATTCCTACTTTGTTCTAAATCTGAAAAGAAAGGACATACACACGACTGGCATTTCACACCACAAGAGGAAAGCCAACCATTTTAAAACCAACACACTGAACCACTAAGCTAATTCCTGTTCTCCACTCCAGGGTGCCTCTTGGTCCCCATTTCTCTGAAACCTGATTATCATCCTGTGTCTTCCTAGTTTTAACCTCCTGTCTCTCATATACTTCTCTCCACTCCTCATGCCCCTAGGTAAAGAAATTGAGGATGGAGGTAAGAAAACTCGACAGGATGGTGGCTGTTAATACAACAATACCAACAGTGAACAAGTTACTGGCTTGCCCACATGATCTGGCCCCAATTACCTCAGTGATCTCATTTCCTAGCGTTGCCCTCTGCAAACTCACCAGACATGATCTCAGGGGATTTGCATTGCCTGTTCCCTCTGCCTAGAAAGTTCTTCCTCAGATATCTACACAGCTAGCTCCTTCATCTCCTTCAGGCCTTCACTCAAAATGCACCTTCTCAAAGGGGCTTTCCCAGGCCGCCTCTCAAATTATACCCATGCACATCCCCGTCCCCACTTCCTAGCTCATTCCTGTTTTACTCTCCTTAGCATTTGAGTACCTAACATAGTGTATATTTTACTTGCTTATCTTATTTATTTATTTATGTATTGCCCATTTCCCAGCAGACTGTAAGCTCCATGACGGCAGGTGACTTTTTCAGACTTGCCCCCTGCTACATCCCCGGCCCCTAGCATAGCATGAAGGCACACGGAGACTGAGAACCAAGCTTAATCAGTGAGGTTAAGTTCCGTAAGGTCAGAGCCTTCAGCACCGCCCACGAGGGTCTCACCTGCTTTGTTCTGTTGGGATCTCGGGGCGGCGGGGATCCAGCAAAGCCTTAGGAAGGGAAAGAATTGCTCCAGAAGGTAGTCCAACTACACAGGAAGAAGTGAATGTTCACACCGATCCAGTGTCCAGCAAGTGGGTTACAAAAATGTCATTATTGCAGAAATTTAAACAAGAGTTTAAAACAAAAAAGTGGGTAAATGAGGCTCCCTTACATAGCCAAAAATAATAATCCAATAATATGCATGGGTCTGAATGAAGGTTCTCACTTTTGAAGACACTAGCTTCTTAACATTCCGAGATACCAGAAAATAAAGTTCTAGAATCAAGATATGGATAATGATGAAAGAGAAAAATGTAGAAGGCGACTTGGATTTCCTCATGGCCCTTCCCTCCAATACCTCCCCCAGCAGGGAGTCTCCTTCCCGTTGAGCAAACGCAGCTGTTTATGCAGCTGCAGTACAGTGGCCAGGGAAGACTGGAGGACCAAGCATGATCGATCATAGCACCAGTTTCAGTAATGGTGATTAAAGCTGATAAACTGCCTACAGGGCTGGCTTCTGTAGAATTTAAGAATACAATAGGCCAGGTGTGGTGGCTCATGCCTGTAATCCCAGCACTTTGGGCGGCCGAGGCAGGCAGATCACGAGGTCAGGAGATCGAGACCATCCTGGCTAACACGGTGAAACCCCATCTCTACTAAAAATACAAAAAATTAGCAGGGCATAGTGGCACACGCCTGTAGTCCCAGCTACTCAGCAGACTGAGGCAGGAGAATCGCTTGAACCAGGGAGGCGGAAGTTGCAGTGAGCTGAGATCGTGCCACCACACTCCAGTCTCGGTGACAGAGCAAGCTTCCATCTCAAAAAAAAAAAAAAAAAAAAAAGCAACAGTAATGCCAAGTGCCCATCAGATCTGAGTCCCAAACATCTTTGGTAAAATCAACTAAACACAGGAACCTGTTAACCACTGTGTCCTAAGTCCTGGGCTTAGGTTACATAAGGATGAGATTTTAGAGCTGGCACGGTGGTTCACACCTGTAATCCCAACACTTTGGGAGGCCGAGGCAGGCGGATCACTTGAGGTCAGGAGTTCAAAACCAGTCTGGCCAACATGGCAAAACCCCATCTCTACTAAAAATACAAATAGTAGCCAGGCATGGTGGTGGGTGCCTGTAATGCCAGCTACTTGGGAGGCTGAGGCAGGAGGATCACTTGAACCCAGGAGGTGGAGGTTGCAGTGAGCCAAGATCGTGCCACTGCACTCCAGCCTGGGCAACAGACCCTGCCAGTTTCTGTAACCTGTCAGCACAGGCTAGCTATGTTAAGAATGCTATCTGGAACTGACTTTTTGAGCTAGGTGAAAATGCCAAATAGAGAGGTGGTATATCAGAAATGAGGACTAAAGGCCAGGCACAATGGCTCACACCTGTAATCCCAACACTTCAGGAGGCCAAGGCAGGAGAATCATCAGAGCCCAGGAGTTCTAGACCAGCCTCGGCAACATGGCAAAACCCCATCTCTACAAAAAAAAAAATTGTTTTAATTAGCCAGGTGAGCTCGGGAGGCTGAGGCTGCAGTGAGCCATGATCACACCACTGTACTCCAGCCTGGGTGACAGAGGGAGACTCTGTCTCAAAAAAAAAAAAAAAAAAAGATGAGGACTGAGAGAGAAGTGGTCACCTTCGTAGGTGGCAAAGATGAACTAATAAACTTCTTCCACCGATATATAGCCCTCCTCACCACCTTTCCCTTACAGGTGGTTCAACAGGGCTCTGCCAGCAATGTGTCCCTTGCTCTGTCCTTCAGGGTGGTTGCCCAAGGGAACCCAGCCATCCCAGAGGCTCCCCATGCACTCACTCAGCAGGTGTCGGCTGGTGATGCCCCGCTCGGTGATGGTGGCCTCCATGGCACTGATGGAGGATGGGAAGATATAGGACTGCTGGAGGACCTGGGGCAGCTGGGGGCGGTCCAGGGAGCTGAAGGCAGTGGCGTTGTATTGCTCAGTGCCCTCATAGAGCTCCAGTACGGTAAACTCATTGCGCCGAGCCTTGGTGTTCCAGTACTGGTACTGCAGGGATAGGAGGAGGCAGCTCAGGGCTTCCCAGCTGCTTCAACTGGAAAGGGAAATTGCACTGGAAGGCACCTTTCTAATTAGCTACAGATCCATGAAGGAAAGCCATCAACTAGCACCTCACTTTTCTTCCTTACTACCAAGTTTACTAACTTTCAAAGTATTTTTATCTAGGCTATCCAAAGTTCACCAGAAAACAAAGGAAATTCTCAAGATCCTTAGAAGCCATAATAGTAACTAACCTTTGAATCACTACTAAGTGCCAGGCATTGTTCTTTGCTAGACTGAAGGTGACTTATTATCCCTATTTTACCAATGATGCAACACAGAGCGTATACATAACTAGTTCGAGGTTATACAGTCAGGAAATAGAAGAGGTAGGATCAAACCTAGCAGTCTGATTCCTGAGCCTAGCGCCCTAACCAGCACGCTTTGCTGCCATCCAGGGAATTTGAGATCCTAAGAAAACCAAAGCAGCAACTGGGTTTCTGGAAAGGACTCAGGAAGCAGGGAGACCTCTGGAGCTACCTTGTGTCCCTGGTAGTGACTGCTTACCACCACCCAGTTCTCTGAATGCACGATATGGACAGGGCCCTTGGCTTTCTTCTGCACAGAGGAGTGGATGATACGCCCAGTGACGCCATCAATGAGGAAGATGCCAATAAAGGTGCGCTCATGATGTGTGTCTGTGCTCTCCGTCACCACAGCCAGCAGGTTGGGGTTCAGGCTCTGGAGAGAGAGAGAAAAGCTCCCGTAGAACCACGATGACTCATCACACACTCCATTCCTGTGCTGTGAGACCAACCTGGAGCTCTCCAGCCTGGCAGAGGAATCAGGGTTTCTGGTGAAAAGAGCTTCCTGTTTGGAGTTTCTCATCACTGCACTTGTTTTATGTGCATTGGGTACTGGGTGCCATGCCAGGTACCTTGTATTTTATCTAATCCCGTAAACAATCTTGCAGAGTAGCTATTATGATCCATATTTTGCAGAAAAGTCTCAAAGTAGTTAAGCAGCTTCTCAAGTCTCAGAGAGCATACAGTAACCCTAGATAAAATCCACGTCTGCCCACTCATTGACCTAGGGACAAATGCTGCAGTGATACTTTTCTTCTCAGGGTCACCACCACCCTCCCCATCGCTAAATCCAGTGGCTAAGTCTTGGCCCTCATCTTACCTGACCCACTAGTACCACGTGACGCAGGTGATCACTACCTCCCTGTGACATTTTCTCACCTGGATTCCAGAACATCCCTGCCCAGCACTCCTTCTACCTTACTGGCCTCTCCTTCTCAGATTCTTTTGGAGGTTCTTCCACATCTCCCCAGTTTCTTCATGGTGGAACACACCAGGAAGCTCTCAAGCCTTAAGCATTTCCATCACGCTCACCCTCATGGTGGTCTATCTCAAGCCAATCTCATGGCTTGAACACCATTTATGGATGTTGGCAATGCCCAGTGTATGTATCCAAACCAGACACTCCTTTGAACTCCAGACTTCACTAAGAAACTATCTCAGTATCTTTTCTCAGATGTCTCATCTGAAACTTAACATGGCCCAAACTGAACTGTTCTAACCCCTGCCTAAAATCTGCTCCGGTCTCCTCCCCAGCCAGTGGTGACTCCATACATCAGTGACTCAGACCTAAAGCCTCGAGTCATCCTTGACTCCTTTCTCTGTAACACACATATACTCGCTCTTGGCTCTACCTTCAAAAGTACCCAGAATCTGATCCCTCCTTCCCACCTCCGTGCTACCAGCACAGCTCCAGCCACCATCAGCACCTGGATGATCCCACAGCCTAAATGGTCTGCTTTCCTCCTCACCCGTCTACAGTCTCATCTAGGTCAAATGAACCTGTGGAATCTCAAGTCACTGATGTCACTCCTCTGCTGAAAACTTCCCAGTGGCTCTTCACCGCGCTCCAAACTGAAGGCACGGTGGTGGCCTGTGATCTGGCCCTGTTGCCCTCTGCCTTCAGCAGGCCTGACATGCCTCCTCACTCATCATCTTCTAGTCACCTGGTCTTCCTTGCTATTTCTCACACACACCAGAAGCGCTCTGACTTTTCTCTCTGGAAGGCTCTCCCCCCAGCTATGCACACGACTCACTTCCTCACTCAAGTCCACTCACTCCGTGCCACTTTCTCACCAAGCCCCTCCTTAGCCACCCAGTTTACACTGTACTCGCTTTCCCTCTTCTCGGCTTTATTTTTCTCTATAGAACTGGTCACTTTCTAATACACTATCTAATTTACCTATTTATTTTCTTTATTATTAGCCTCACCCAACTATGATGAAAGCCTCACAAGGTCAGGAAGTTTTGTCTGTTTTGCCCATTTTATATCCCAGTGTGTAATGAGTGCCTGCATCCAACTAGCACTCAAAAAATACTTGCTGTTGGCCGGGTACGGTGGCTCACACCTGTAATCCCAACACTTTGGGAGGCCAGGATGGGAGGATTACTTTAGCCCAGGAGTTCAAGACCAATCTGGACAACACAGCAAGACCTCATCTCTAAAGAAAATAAAATAACTGCCCGGGCACAGTGGCTCACGCCTGTAATCCCAGCACTTCAGGAGGCCGAGGCGGGCAGATCATGAGGTCAAGAGATCAAGAACATCCTGGCCAACATGGCGAAACCCCATCTCTAAAAATACAAAATTTAGCTGGGCATGGTGGCACGCGCTTGTAGTCCTGGCTACTCGGGAGGCTGAGGCAGGAGAATCGCTTGAACCTGGGATGTGGAGGCTGCAGTGAGCCGAGATCGTGCTACTGCACTCCAGCTTGGCGACAGAGTGAGACTCCATCTCAAAAAAAAAAAAGAAAAAAGAAAGAAAATAAAATAAGCCATGGTGACATGCACCTGTTGTCCCAGCTGCTTAGGAGGCTGAGATGGGAGAACTGCTTCAGCCCGGGAGGTCAAAGCTTCAATAAACTGTGATCGCACCACTGCACTCCATTATACTGGGGAAAAATGGAAGCTCAGACAGCCTAAGAGATGAAGAGCTAGGCCATGGCAGAGCCACGTCTTAACTTGACAGTCAAACTAGAGGCTTGCACCGTGTTGCACTGGATCATGCTTAGTGATCCGGCTTTACCATCAAGTTCCGTGATCTCGCTACTCTATTCTATGACACCCCCTCCAACTCAGTCTCTACTCAGTCTCTGCTGTACCAGAGGGTGTAATTAATGTGCATTACTACTGTGATTACATTCTCTCCCACAACAGTTTTGCAGCCCACTAGTCACCTCAATCTCCCTCTCTTTAACACTAACTAGAGTGTTGGATCACAGAGATGGAGTTTCTGATGGCTCGACTATGGTTTAACCCCAGAATGCTCTGTCAGTACTACCACTAGTAATAAGAGCTGGGCTAGGCACAGTGACTCAAGTCTCTAATCCCAACACTTTGGGAGGCTGAGGTAAGAGAACTGCCTGAGGCCAGGAGATGGAGACCAGCCTAGGCAACATAGTGAGACCCTGTCAATACAAAAATAAGAAATTTTTTAAAAGTTTTTTTTTTTTTTGAAGACAGGGTTTCACTATGTTCCCTAGGTTGATCTCTATCTTCTACAGAAAATAAAAAGTTAAAAAAAAAATTTTTGTTTGTTTGTTTGGAGACAGGGTCTCACTCTCATCCAGACTGGAGTGCAGTGGCACAACTGCAGCTCACTGTAGCCTCGACCTCCCCAGGTTCAGGTGATCCTCCTACCTCAGACTCCCGAGTAGCTGAGACTACAGGCATGCACCACCATGCCCAGCTAATTGTATTTTTTTTACTTTTCTTGCGGGGGTAAAGACAAGGTTTCAGCCACGTTGCCCAAGCTGGTCTCAAACTCTTGGACTCAAGTAATCCACCTGCCTCGACCTCTCAAAATGCTGGGATTACTGGCATGAGCCACCAAGCCCAGCCTTTTTTAAAAAATTAACATGGCATGTGCCTATGGTCCCAACTGCTCGGGAGACCAAGGTGAAAGGATCGTGTAAGCCCAGGAGGACGACGGAGCTGCAGTGAGCCATGGCTGCATCACTGCACTCCAGCCTGGGCAACAAGCAAGACTCTGTCTCAGGAAACAAAACAAAAAGGTCCAAAAAATAAGAGCTAACATCTGTTGCTTACTTACCATATGCTAGGCACTGGGCTAGGCATGAATATCTCATGTGATCATCACAACAAGCCTAGGAAGAGGGTATATTATCCCCACTTCACAAACAAAAATTAAGGCTCAAAGGGATTAAATGACTTACTCAAAGTCATATATCTACCAAGTCCTACAGCCAGACTTGAAGCCCTTGTTTTCCTGATTCAAAAGCCCTTGCTGTATACCAGACAGCTGGCTGTACGTACCTTGTAGAGCACACTGCGGTCCCCCATCACACGGCCCTGGGAATGAACGTGCTCACTGCTGCGTTTCCCCTTCACCTTGACGATCCGCTGTACTTCCGGGGGAATGGTCAGCTCCCAACTCAGCTCAGTGGTGAGATCCTAGGGCGGGGACACAAAGAACTGAAACAGCTAGAGTTAGACCCATCCTACAGTTCATTATTTGAGGCCTTTGTGCAGGAAGGAACAGAGATCAGAACTAGAAAAACGAGCCAGGAGCAGTGGCTCATACTTGTAATCCCCACACTTAGGAGGCCAAGGTGGGCGGATCACTTGAGGTCAGGAGTTCAAGACCAGCCTGGCCAAGAAAGCCAAACCCCATCTCTGCTAAACTTACAAAAAATTAGCCGGATGTGGTGGTGGGCACCTATAATCCTGGCCACTCAGGAGGCTGAGGCAGAGGCTGCAGTGAGCTGAGATCACGCCACTGCACTCCAGCCTGGGTGACAGAGCAAGACTCAAAAATAAAACAAACTAGAAAAATGGCAATAGAGATCTAGTTTATGAAGAAATTTCAGAACTCTCAGTTTGATTAAGATAGATACTAGACCAGGTACAGTGGGTCACACCTGTAATCCCAGCACTTTGGGAGGCCGAGGCGGGTGGATCACCTGAGGTCGGGAGTTTGAGACCAGCCTGACCAACGTGGAGAAACCCCATCTCCACTAAAAATAAAAAATTAGCCAGGCATGGTGGCGCATGCCTGTAATCCCAGCTACTCAGGAGGCTGAGGTAGGAGAATTGCTTGAACCTAGCAGGCGGAGGTTGCAGTGAGCCAAGACTACAGCCATTGCACTCCAGCCTGGGCAACTCCGGCTCAAAAAAAAAAAAAAAAGATAATAAAGCCAGTAGGAAAGGAGGCGAATGCTCAGTAGTATCCCGTTGTTTATCTGAGCAGGAAATATGCAAGGAAAATTTACCATTTATTACTAAACTCCAAGATGCCCGTATACTAGGGCCAGCAGTGAATGTCTAAGCTAACAGGGACCTCAAAACATCTCGTGTATGATTCTTTATGGTCATAGGAAACCAACCAATAAACACTCATGGTTAAATATATTATTACACATCCATCCTATGGAATTATGCGGAGCACTTGGGCGTGGAGACAGGAAGTAGTTACTGGCAAAGGGCAAAAGGGCCTTCTAGGAGCTGGTGCTGTTCTGTTTCCTGATGTGATTACCAGGCACACAAGTGTATTCCCTTGGTGAGGGTTCACTGAGCCATACCTCATGATTTTGCACTTTTGTCAATATTTTTCTGTAATAAAAAACTGAAGTTGACAAAACAATGAGGTAAAAAACCCATTAAATGAAAAAAGCAAATTTCATAAGAATAAATATAGGTCAATTCCATGTGAGTAAGAAAAAAAAAAAACAGGCCGGGTGCAGTGGCTTACACCTGTAATCCCAGCACTTTCGGAGGCCAAGGCAGGAGGATCACTTGAGGTCAGGAGTTTGAGACCAGCCTGGCCAACATGGTGAAACCCCATCTCTACTGAAAATACAAAAATTAGCCGGGCGTGGTGGCGTGCACCTGTAGTCTTGGGAAGCTGAAGCAGGAGAATCGCTTTGAACCCAGGAGGCAGAGGTTGCCGTGAGCTGAGATCACGCCCCTGCACTGTAGTCTGGGTGACAGAGCGAGACTCTGTCTCAAAAAAAAAAAAAAAAAAAAGTATGAGCCACACATGTGTGTCCACACAGCTGTTGATATGGAATCATAAATACACAAGGACAGTGGAAAGAGGCACAGCAAACTGCTGACAGGCTTTCCACCTGGGGAAGGGAAGACTGCTGGAAATGGGGCTACAAGAGTCTGTTCACATTTTGCTTGTTCACCTCTCTGTATCAATGGACTCTTTTACAATGAGAATATACTCGTGTATTACCTAAATTTTTAAAATAATAAAAGTTATTAATAATAAGACTTCACTGCCACAACCTTCTTTGAAAACATGAGAACTCACTAAAACATGCCCAGAGAGGAAGGTCACCAAGTGAGGGCAAAGGCAGGACACTCCCTCGTGGCCCAGGACTCATGCGCACGCCTGGCTCACTTCCCACAGACAGCTCTGCCCCCTTTGTCTTCCTTTGTCATTGTTCACTCAGATGATGTCCTCAAGACTCTGGATTCATGACACCCACACTCCAGTTCACTCCCCTGAATCTACAAAACTGTCTCTTTCAAGGTCCTCATTTTATTAACTCAGAAGGACGATTTTTTTTTTTCATTCACAAGGGTAAAGGATGTGTCTTCTGGGCAGACCATTTCCAGTGCCGTTTCTGCTAAGGTTAGCTGTTACAAATGTCACAAAAGGGCACTGCATTTTCAAAACAACAGCGTCTCCAACTCAGATGGCATTTACCATATGCCAGGCAGTTTTCTGTGATTTATATGTTGAATTCTCACAACAACCTTTTGAGACAGGTATTTATCACCTTATTTTACAGCTAAGAAAACAGAAGGCCAGAGTCCAAGGTCACAGAGTTAGTAAGTGACAAACCTAGGCTTCAAATCCAGCAAATTGGGTCTAAGCTCTTAAATTCTACGCCTCTCAAAAGGCCTTACAGGACAGGATGGGAGAGCTGTTTGTGAGTGCACACCACAGAGTGCTTCTCCAAACAGTCCTGCTAACAAGGCCATGCCAGCCCCTCATGAACTTCAGAGCTGGACTTCAGAGCCAGCTTGTATCACTGTTTACAAGAGTTGGTCTCAAGTATGTGAGGATTAAAGCAAACTGACCCCCTTTCTAGAAATAAAATTCAAAGCACACATTCTATCATGAGTTGGTCAACATCATCTTCATATAAAAGTACAACTTATTACTCAACCCACATTCCTACCTTCTACTCTCCCAAGAATGGAAAAAAAGTCCCATCTCTCTGCTATAGAAAAAGAATGTGGCCGGGTGCAGTGGCTCACGCCTGTAATCCCAGCACTTTGGGAGGCCGAGGCAGGTGGATCACAAGGTCAGGAGTTTGAGACCATCCTGGCCAACACACTGAAGCCCTGTCTCTACTAAAAATAGAAAAAATTAGCCAGGTGTGGTGGCGCATGCCTGTAATCCCACCTGTTTGGGTGGCTGAGGCAGGAAAATCGCTTGAACCCAGGAGGTGGAGGTTGCAGTGAGCCGAGATCGCGCCACTGCACTCCAACCCAGGCGACAGTGCGAGACTCGTCTCAAAAAAAAAGAAAAAGAATGTGGAATGAAAGCTCCATAAGGGCAGAGATTTGGTCTACTGTGCACCACTCTGTCCACAGCACCTAGAACCATACCTGCCATGTAGTAGCTGCCCAACAAACATGAACAAATGATTGACTTTGTATCAGACATCAGGATTACGCTAATCTAAGTTTATAGTAGAATGAGTAGCATAATTCACTTCTTAGCCAAATGGCCAGGAAACACCTGCATCTCATCCACAAAGGGTCATGCCAGGACACGCCTTCCCACCTTTCGAAGCCGATATCCACATAGCTGTCCCTGCTCCGCATCCACCAAATAGAAGAAAATCGAAGGTGCAAGCTCATGTAGCTGTCGCAAGACATTCCGAGTGGCTGGAAAAGCTGTGACCTTGAAAAACCCAGAGAGCCCAAGGAAAGAGTTAGGAAACTTCCCCATCAAAGAGAGCCTTAAGAATAAAACAGCAAATCTTAAAAGAATTCAAGTCTAGTGAACTCAGTTTAGGGTTTACATTCAGTTCTGTTAAGAACCTGAGTTTTCACAAATGCAGACACAGCCATCATTTCTCTTCAGGATGGCCTTAGAGCCCAAACACGTGCTGGGTGCAGAGAGCACTCCATCTCTGGGCTGCTGTGTTTGACCACTTGGCCCCAAACCCGACTCCACTAGCATGTTCTCCATCCCCTCTGAACACAGTACCTTGTATTCATCATCTATCAACAGCAACACCTTGGCGTAGTCTTGATCCATGACTGGGAGAAGCAAGGACTGCAAGATGGGGCGCTTCAGCACTGGGGGAGCCACCTGACTCCACTTCCCAAAAATGGGATTGAAGACATACAGAGAACTCATTCCCGACTCCTAAAATGAGCAAACTGTCAGGCTCCACCAACAAGAAAAGACTGCAAATCCTAGGGATAGACCTGAAGAGCTGGGACTCCAGCTCAGCAACTGTGGGGGTTCCCTAGTCTTTGCCCTCTTTGTGGAAAATAAGTTCTTGGCTGTAGGTGAATAGTCCCCTAGGCTAACGTCACAAAGGAAAAAGTCAAACTGTCTCTGCCAGTTCTTTTTTGTTTGAGACAGGGTCTCACTCTGTCACCCATGCTGGAAGTGCAGTGGCATGATCAAGGCTCACTGCAACCTCTACCTCCTAGGTTCAAGCGATCCTCCCACCTCAGCCTCCCAAGTAGCTGGGACTACAGGCACAAACCACCACATGTGGCTAATTCTGTTTTTATTTTTTGTAGAGAATGGTGAGACCATCTCAACATGGTGAGACCCCGTCTCTACTAAACATACAAAAATCAGCCAGGCATGATAGCATGCGCCTGTAATCCCAGCTACCTGGGAGGCTGAGGCACAAGAATCGCTTGAAACTGGGAAGTGGAGGCTGCAGTGAGCCAAAATTGCATCAGGCAGCCATTCCAAGAAAGTGTCTACCAAGCCCACCTTCTGTGGTAGAATGAATACACAAAAATCCATTCTAATTCTGGGAAGACACAAAAATATCCTGCTCTTCCTCAAAGAGAGAAGAGAAAATAGCCACTCAGCTACTAACAGCCGATGTTTAGAAAAGAGGAGAGCTGGCTCCCTATGTAGCTGGTGAAGTCACACCCACTTTCTAAACAATTCCACATCATTGCTGGCTGGTTCCTCCACCCAGGCATGAAACTAGAAGAAACAAGAGTTCTAACTCCTGAATGTGCCTCATTAACTCACATAATTCCAAGGGCCTAGGAGCAATTTCAGTTACAAAATAGCAAAAAAGCCACTCTGAGTCTGGCTCAAGTTAGAGCTGGATGCCTCACCTTGTCCTTCACCAGCAGGGTACACTGGGGGGGGTGGGGGAAATGAGCAGTAGTTCTCTGAACCATCAGTTTAAAGGAGGAGTCTGGCTTGACGTTGGGTAGATACTGTTTCCACAGGATGGTGCCAGAGCTGCTCTCAATGCCAAAAAGCTGCAAGATAAACAAATACTTGGCTCACTACTAGAAAGAGAAACCAAAGAACTGAGTCTGTCCTTGAAAACTAGAACCAGTGTCATCCCCCACCAAAGGCTTTTTGTTCCTCACCCTCAGAACTTGAAAAGGTTCAGTAACTGGAGTCTAAACCACACGCACCTTGCCTGAGGCTGTTACCATCACCATCATCTTCTGGAGGTTGAATTCATCTCTGGCCAGGGTGTCAATGTTGATCTCATTCTTAATCTGACTTCGGGGCTTCCGAGCATCGTAAAACATTTTCCAGAGGTGGGAAGTCCATGCTTGCAGCAGGATAAGCTGAGACGAGAGGCGTTTCAGGAACATCCCCAGCAAGCCATCTGGTGTAAAGGAAAAGTAACCCACTCTACATCAGACTAGGGGTCCAGAAGGAGGTACATGCTTTTCCTAATGAGGGATCTCTGCCTCTCCTATGGAGTGGTAAAGTCCACACTCTAGGCCACAAGCCCAAAGGGCAGTCCTATATCTGATGCCAATAGTCTCACACTCAGGTAAGGCTCATGCAGGAACTTCCAAAAACTACTTAACTGGCTCTTACAACTAAACCCAGCTGGAATCTTGGAATAGACTAGGAAGTCAGGGATCAGGCATGCAGGAGGCAGCCATGCTGTGAATGTCTCCACCACAGCCCCACATCCAAGATGCCAGAGGAAGGTTTCTGGGTGCCATGACAAAGCCAGAAGAGGTATGAGTGTGGGGGTGGAGGGTGCAGGTCAATGAATGTGTATCATGAGCAGGTACTTCCATCTCCCACTGCTTCATTCCTACTTTGTCAACTGTTTAACCTGCACCCAACAGACATATTTGCAACGAGTTCCCAGGACCATCATTCACTCTTTCCCTGATTCCATCAGTGAAGCCACTGCCCTCCAGATCTCCTCATTGGAGACCACAGATTTGGACACAGATGCAAGGAAGCAAGGTAAAGAGCATGGTCTCTGGAATCTGCCAGGCCCAAATTAAGATCCCAGCTTCACCACTCACTATGGGGCAACCTTGAGAAAGGTACTTCACCTTTTTGCCTCCGGTTCCTCATCTGTAAAGTGGCATGTAACCCACTGGATTGTTGGAAAATTACATCATACGATGTACATCAAGGATTTAGTGTGGTGCCTGGTACATGGTAAGCACTTAATAAAAAAGGAGCAGAACCTCTGCTTATTTTATTTTCCACCCACCTCTGCTCAAGGAAGAGAAGTGAGAAGCAACAGGACAAGTCACAAGCATGGCAGTCAACACACACACACACCCCCCCACCAAGGATGTACCTCATTGGTCCAAGCTAAGAAGAAAAACAATTAACCAAAAGCTAGCCATGTGAGCAGGCAATGAGCAACAAGGCAGCAAGAAGCAGGTTTTACCTTGAATCGCTGGATCCAGGCAGCAGAAATAAACAGTAAAGTCAAATTAATCCTCAGCTTAAGAAAATGTGCATTGCCTAGCAGAGTGCCTGGTCTACAGCAGGCCCTCAATAGCTATCCGTTGGAGAGCTGGATGAATGGACAGAAGAGAGAGGGCAGGGGGCAGGACTGAATCAGAGCAGAGTGAATCAAGTTCATCCTGGCAGTTGGGACCATGGCCAGCTTTAGAGGGCACTGGACTATTTCCGCAATACCCAGATCAACCCAATCGTGTCTCCAGACAGATGTGGCTGCTGCTTTAGGGACAATGAGTATACAGTGCCTGGTACATTTTTAGTACACAGGCAATGGTAGCTATTACTATACCAAGTTAAGACTTTATTCCCCACCAGGCGCAGTGGCTCACGCCTGTAATCCCAACACTTTGGGAGGCCAACACGGGCAGATCATGAGGTCAAGAGTTCAAGACCAGCCTGACCAACATGGTGAAACCCTGTCTCTACTAAAAATACAAAAATTAACCGGGCGTGGTGGCGCACGCCTGTAAACCCAGCTACTTAGGAGGCTGTGGCAGGAGAACTGCTTAAACCCGGGAGACGGAGATGGCAGTGAGCCAAGACTGTGCCACTGCACTCCAGCCTGGGTGACAGAGCAAGACTCTGTCTCAAAAAAAGAAAAAAAGGAAAAAAAAAGACTTTTTCCCTCAGCTTTCTCTAGAGGGATTTTTCCCTAGCTTTCCCCAGAAGGATTCAGTTCATTCTTTCACAGAAATGAACGGTTTCATAAACCATATGGCCACAAATGCACTGGAACCTCATCACAGAGCTCGTTCAGAAAAGACTAGCAATCTGGCAAGCCCAGGAAGCCGGAGATGCATGACACGGTGTCTCTTGTGGTCATTTCCAGACTGACCCCTCCAGCAACTCTGCAGCTCCAACCTCTTAGGTTCATACCTGCCTTTTTGCCAAATTCTCCTTCCAGCTCGGCCTGTGCCCCAGTCAGGGGGAGGTCCACCATCTCTAGGCACACCACTTCTGCCAGGGACTCCTCACGACTCCACAGCACCACCTTCCCTGCTACAGGAAACATTTTTACAAAGCTAAGCCTGGAGCTGGGCACAGTGGCTCATGCCTGTAATCCCAGCACTCTGGGAGGCCAAGGTGGGCGAATCTCTTGAGCCCAGGAATTTGAGATCAGCCTGGACAACAGGGCAAAACCTTATCTCAACAAAAAATAAATATCAGGGCCAGACAAGGTGGCTTACGCCTATAATCCCAGCACTTTGGGAGGCCGAGGGAGGCAAATCACAAGGTCAGGAGATCGAGACCATCCTGGCTAACATGGTGAAACCCCATCTCTACTAAAAATATAAAAAGTTAGCTGGGCGTGGTGGTGGGCACCTGTAGTCGCACCTACTCAGGAGGCTGAGGTAGGAGAATGGTGTGAACCCAGGAAGTGGAGCTTGTAGTGAGCTGAGATCACGCCACTGCACTCCAGCCTGGGCAACAGAGCGAGACTCCATCTCAAAAAATAAATAAATAAATAAATAAATAAAAATAAATATCAAAAAATTAGCCAGGCATGGTGGCAAGCGCCTGTAGTCACAGCTACTTGGGAGGCTGAGGTGGGAAGATCACTTGATCTCGGGAGATTGAGGCTGCAGTGAGGCCATGATCGCACAACTGCACTCCAGACTGGGCAACAGTGAGACCCGGTCTCAAAAAAAAAAAAACTAAGGCTGCCTCCCAGATGTTCTAAAGAGACTCTTCTTGCTGACTCAGGGATTACTACAAGCTCTTGCATAAAAGGAGAAATGGCAGAGCAAGGGGCTGGAATCAATAGGTCAAGGGAGGAAAGTTACGTATCCCACCAAGAAGGCCAAGTTATTCTTCAAAAGCAGGTGACAAAGGCCGGGTGTGGCGGCTCACACCTGTAATCCCAGCACTTTGGGAGGCCAAAGTGGGCAGATCACCTGAGGTTAGGAGCTCGAGATCAGCCTGGACCAACGTGGTGAAACCCTGTCTCTTACTAAAAATACAAAATTAGCCAGGTGTGGTGGCACGCGCCTGTAATCCCAGTTACTCGGGAGACTGAGGCAGAAGAATCACTTGAACCAGG